TTGGAAATGCGGCCATGCACTACAGCCACCTGAGAATTAGTCAGACTGATAAACATCTCCGACTGCGTTTCCGACCAAAATCGTTGCCACACCTGCAAATCACGACCGATTCTGCTCAACCCTTGGTCTGGGGTGTTCAGAATTTCACCCTCTACACACTCATGAAATTTGTTTGCCAAACACTTCCATTCGAAGGAGCGTTGGCCAAAATACACTCAGCACATGCATAGCATCAAACATTGTGTCTCCCTCAATCAAATCTCAATATTTTCTCCCGTTTCCTCTCTCCAAAATTACTTCTATATGTCACAAACATTCTTACCCAACTGATTTTGTATATGCCCAATGGTCCTTGTGCTATGCCCAGCTGTAACCAGACGTATATATCCCCCCGTATTTCCCTTAAAACTCAACAAACTCCCCTCCTTTTGGCATCATCCCAGGGTTGCTGAGGTTCCTATCAATGCCTCCAAGATAATCCTCTAAGCACTCAAGCCAATTAACGAGGTTGTTGTGGAGATATTCATAGAAAACTGTCAATAAAAGCCATTATTCTCTGGACTTTGTCTGCTTAACCTATGAGTATTTTACATGTGAACTGGTTGCCATATCATGACATAAATGCTCGCAAAATTGACTATATTATGCCCTCAAAAAATGTGCTGAAGGAAAAAAAAATTAAGGTGTCTTGTCATCGTTGTCGACAGCGGCGACGAGGTAAGGGCAATGCTGACGGCGGCGACGGCGGCGACGACGACGACGCGTCATGTTTGCTTCCGGCAGTGGTGAATCGCGCGTGTTTGGCCAAGGCATTTACACCTTTGGTTTTTGTTTGGACATCGCGTCCGGGGTCTCTGGCTGGGTATCCCCGAGGGGGGTGAGTGTACCGTTTTCACCTCGTGACTTGCATGTAAGATAGGCCGCACTCAAACTCATACGTGCTTGGCGGCGTGCCGAGCCTGTGACTCGCTGTGACTGCATTGCCACCGGCATGTTTGACAACTCAACGCTTCAAGACGATATGACCGTGGTAGATACAATTATTTAATCTTGGCTTTCGCAAGCTCCTCAAATATGCGCTCAGGAAGCACGCGATGACCGTGATACTTTTTTGATGCCCAAGCGGCCTGCTTTCCGCTGAGCCCTTTTCAATATGCATCCATAAAACGAAGTGACCTATTCGGCGACCGCACAGGAGTAAGTCAAGCTCTGGGTCTTTGTACCCTGGCCCCGAGTCTTGTGGAGCTTGAGTACGCGTTTTATAT